GCAGGAGGGTGAGGATAGGGAGAAGGAGGTTGTTGGAAAGCACCAAGGATCAGTTAGGCGACAGTTGTTCCTGCTGCGCTCCCTGCTTGGGCTTGAAGACATGGTTTCTTGCAGGTGCTGCCACGCACTTGGGCTTTGTGAGCCTCGGAAGTGGTGCTAGAAGGTGGCAAAGCTGCAGCTTCAGCAACGTGCTGCAGCCGCGTGGTTGCCACTTCCATGCCTTGCTAAGACAGCGAGCGATATTTGAGTTTGAGGAGGCTTTTAAGGGGCAGACGTGAACAACTGTTCATAAGCCAGCAGTTAGGATAAATGCAAGGCTTCTGTTGATGGATCGTGTAATCTTGCTTTCTGATATCGGTTTCCAGTAAAGTAAATCTGAGATGGAGCAGAGCTGCCCCCCTTTTCCCCTTTACTACAGATACAGTTATGCTGTTGAATAGCGTGCTCGCTACTGTGAAGGTCTTCATAATGTAGCTGTAATTTTTAGAAGAAAGGATGATGCACTTAGCATCTCCACTAATCCTACCATACCAAGTGCTTTTATTACACATGGAGTGGCATCAAAACTTATTTCATTTGCACATGATTCTGCCTAGAAGAGGAAAGACAAGTCATAGGCAGGGATGAGCTCATGTTAAAAACAGTTCACGCTTACGTCTGATCTTTCCTTTGAGCTTAAGGCTTAGGCCAAGCTGTAGTTTTAAGCCAAACTACAAACAGGAGTAGGTGACGGACTCGGAGAAAGAAGGCAGAAGTGGGATAAGCAAGTGAGGCAGGAGCCTGGGAAGACCATGGATAGGGGAAGTGGGGCTGCTGAAACAGGGAAGACAGATGTCAGAAGAGGCCAGGACCAACTCAGTTTCTAGGTGAGCAGCTGGGACCAGCGAAGCGCAAAGGAAGAGGGGAAAGGAAAATATCCAGAGGCAGCAGGGAAACTGGGAAAACTTCCACCAGCAGTGAAGATGGGGAGTAGAAATGTGAGTTAAACCAGGAAGGGGAGAGTTTTGGTGTTAGGTAGGGAGAAGAGGAGGAACCAGGCTGCGACCGGCCAGCATGGAGGAGGTTCGGGCGCAGGGGGCTGCCGCTGCCGAGGATGGGGTATGCGCCTGTCCGGGCGGTGTGTCTCAGTACAGAAAACCAATCTACGTGACCTCGTTTCCAGCTGTGGCTGTACAGGAAGAGGGTTGTTAATAAATCGGAGGCTCTTGGTGCATTTCTGCATCTTAAACTTGTTTTCCTTAGCAGGAGCTCGCCTCTGCTCTGATGCTGCTGACCTTAATACCAGATCAGAGCAAGCACAGCACGGCACTCCAGCTTCACCTGCGCTAGCAAACCTGCCCGTTGCTGCCAGCGGGTGCGGATCCGCCGGAGCAGAGCGGCAATGAGTGGCAAGCTGAGGAGGTCTGAAAAAAGCAGAGACTCCTGAAACGGTGCTGACTTAGCAGGAGCTCGCCTCTGCTCTGATGCTGCTGACCTTAATACCAGATCAGAGCAAGCACAGCACGGCACTCCAGCTTCACCTGCGCTAGCAAACCTGCCCGTTGCTGCCAGCGGGTGCGGATCCGCCGGAGCAGAGCGGCAATGAGTGGCAAGCTGAGGAGGTCTGAAAAAAGCAGAGACTCCTGAAACGGTGCTGAGCCTGGTTTGTCCTTGGCTGCGCTTGCAGTTAAACCCTGTTTGGGCC